GCAATGCTATTAACTGTCGACAGGGTTCGAGAGGCGTTCGTTTTGGACGTATCCTCAAAATGCCATGGACGTGTCCTAATTCCGCAGTCCAAGTTACATCGGTCTTAGACCGGCAAAAAAATCTTCCGTGGCGTCTTCTCTGGACGACATACTCCAATAAAAAAATGAACGGACTCACCAGTAGTTGAGTTTGGTTGTTGCCGCTGTTTATGCGCCGAACCAAGCGGTGGATAAAGACGATCGATGGTATAGTGGAACGATCGCATAGATGACCGTTGATGTTGGATGATCACGTGATTCCTCAGAAACCACCGGAGGACCTTCCGGCGGAGCGATGTGGCGACGTATCGACTCCCTTCCGGCGTCAGTAACGTGAGCCGGGGAAATTCCGTCCTAAGGGGGCTTTTGCCCGATTGCGCGCGAAAAGGTTTTGTCATTCGTTCGACTGAACTCCTGTAATCTGGAGGGTGCACGGTTAGCATCATATTGAGCACAACTACCTGTTGTTTTATCTTCCTCTTTTGCACAAAAAAAAACCTACTATTGAACGACTATTGGTAAAAGAGAACTAATTTAGCACAAATGTAACCACGTTGCTTTAATTTCTTACATTATTCTGATTTCACGACCTTGGTTAAAACGTACGCTTCCAATTGGTATACTGGTCTAAGACGAAATGTGTGAGCATTGTTACCTTCAGATTACCACCCGCATCACCCTCGGCTAAGTTCGGTAATGTAATAGTTATAGATGGTTGGTCGTTCTAGCTTATGAAACCCAACTCTAGCTATCCCAAGTAGCAATTCAGCAACCATTTGGCATCCACTCTAATTTATGATGGTTTTATAATGGCAATGAACAATCCATAAATACAGCATTTCAAAGTGTAAACCATTGCTGTTTAGTAATTCAGCTTTTCGCTATTTCAAAAACCTTTTATAGTCTGGCGAGAAATTCGGCGAATGTCTAGATTTATAAACTAATTTAAAGCAGTTCTCAATCCCTTCATAAAACTGTTCTGTAATTCAATCATAAACTTCATCAGCAAATGAATATTAATGTCTTGATCAAATACTCTATAAAAGTGCTCTATCATTATAAAAGCAACCATAGAATCATTTGGTTTTAAATGAGAGCAAAAGGCATATTTTAATGATTTTTAGTCTTTTAAAGTAATTGTGGATTTTATAACAATTACTCTGTTTACAGATTGAACTTAAAAGAAATGGATATGAGGAATTAAACCAAAATTTATGACAAGAAAATCTCGAAGGATAAACGAAGTAGAATGACAAATTCAAGTGATTCTAACGATCTAAGGGCAGTCGATTTCTGCAAAATTAACTTCTTTAGAATAATCAGCACGTCCGGCTGAACCGGTACCAATAGGTGACGATCGGAATTACTTGGATCAGTACTGACAACAAACTACCAAACTGCCAGTTAGCAGAGATTAGCTGATTTCCGATCCATGGTAGCGATTTTATTCGATCAAAAATTTCATTCAAGCTTACATTACTGCGTCGTTTGATGGTGCACTTCGGGAACCATCCGGAGAAAGGGAATCTTCTTCGCGATTTGCCTAACTTTATTTTGGTCAATTTCGCAATAAGCAAATATTTAAAATGCGAAAATCTTTAAAAAAAAATCTTGGCTAAGCTAAATGATCGATCTTAAGAATAATTTTGTTAATTAAATAAAAAAATAATTAGTAAAATCGAGGTTTTCCGAGGGCGGACTAATTTTTTTCGGTGTTATCATGTACATTTCACATGATATTTAATGTGGCACCTAAGTCCAGGCCACTTTATGAGAACTAATTAAATAATTTTGGTAATTCAACAGGATTTTTATACGATCAGTTTTTATTTTAATTATTTTGATAAGATTGGATGGTAATTATGAATTCTTTTCTATCTTGATTGATGCTTTTCTAGTGGATTCAGCAAGCAGCTAGGGAAAACGGCTCAAGAAAGGGTTTTATTGTTACCAAATAGCTTTTATTGTGGCTTAAATACAGTTTTCAAATGGTTATCAATGCGTTCGACATCTTTCAGAACCTTCTCCAGGGTGGGCCAACTAGACAGATTCTAGTCTTAATGAGGTTTTGGTGGATGCATCAATGGCAAAACAGCCTTGACCAGGGTTATATGAATGTTGTTTTATTGTAGCTTTGTAGTATTTAATAAAACTTAAAATGTTACTTGGAATCTCTATCCTTCCTCTCGCAATCAAGTTCCAACGTTAGAATTTGCATCTGCGTGACAAACGAGTAGTGGCGTTATTTTTAAAATGTAGGCGATTGTATCTGGATTGTAACAGTCATACATTAGATACTATTAAAAACTGACAGTAATTTTTATTTCATATCTTTATTAAGAAGACTTTTGACAATAATTGTATTCTGTCCTATTTACTGCTATTTGAATTCAAATTTAAATATATTAACAAAATATTTAAACTACTACTATTATATTTACAACGGTAACGTAGGTAGGTGAACGAAGGAAAAAAATCAATTATGAAATTCTGTTCAACTAAATTACCTAAAGTATTGAATAAATTTAACAATTTAATGTGAAGACTTTGATTTCAGTAGTGACAAAAGCTCCATCCGATTTCTCTGGAAGTCAACTTGTTCCAGATACTAAATCCAACTACTCCAGGAAATGTCATCCGACTTGTTCAGATTTTTTTTTCCAAATTTCCCCGATTTCTTCTGACTTCTTTAGGAGTTTCTTCTTAATACCTCAGAAAGTTTCTCCTCAGCAGTTCCATTTCAAAAGACGAATATCGGCGCCGGTGGTGTAGTGGTAAGCGTGATTACCTCTCACCCCAGCAGGCCTGGGTTCAATCCCAGTCGGCGCCGCCGGGATGTTCTGAGGCATAACATCTCTGATCACGCCTTCCTTCGGATGGGAAGTAAGGCCGTTGGTCCCCGGTTCATGAGTTGATGGGTCGATAGGTAGGGTCCAGGTGTGGGAGCTGCCTTCCTGGCACGTCGGTGTAGCATTGGTGCACAGCACGGAAAACAAGATCGACTGAAAAAACAAACCAAAAAAAAAGAAGAAAAAAAAGACGAATATTTTTTAAATTTTTTATCGACCTTCTACGATTATGCTGAAACTTTGCACAGTTGTTTGTTATTGTCCAACATGCCATTTTACATATTTGGTTCCCTAGTTTTATGTACGACTAACACTTGAAAAGGGCTTCTGCAAAAATGATACGCATCAATAGAAAAACATATATCTTGCGAACGATTTGTTTGATTGAGATGGTGTCTTCGAAGAAGTTGCGGACAAGTATTATGCCTTGCAAGAAAAAATATACACTGTAAAAAAATATATTCTTTTTTACAAAAAAAAAATTAAAATTATAAAAAAAATTAAAATTACTCAAATTGCATATATTTTTAAATTATTTTGTTTATATTTATTTTGTAGTAAAAATAAAGTTATACCTACTGACACTGTGGATTTGCTGGGCAAATCATAAACAAAAAAGTTATGAATTATTGAAAAAATAAGTATTTTCCAAAATACCACCTACAGTTGTCGAATATCTTTGAAATAGTGTTAATATTAAAACATATTAAATTTACAACAAAAAAGCTCGTCATTGAAAAAGAAATAAGCTATTCGAGTAATTTTAATTTTTTTTTTTTTTGATAAAATTGATTTTTTTTGTAAATAAAATTGTAGTTCTTTACAGTGTATATTTTTTTCTTGGAAGGCACAATACTTGTCCGCAATATCTTCAAAGACAAATCGTTCACGAGACATATATTTTTCTATTGATGCGTATCATTTTTGGATAAGCCCTTTTCAAGTGTTAGTCGTGTACAAAACTATGGAACCAAATATGTAAAATGGCATGTTGGGCAATAACAAACAACTGTGCAAAGTTTCATCATAATCGTAAAAGGTCGATCCGAAACGATTTGCAGTGCAGTGAAACTATTCCAAGCTTTCGCCTCCTACATTTCGAAGTGAGAACTATTAGAAGGAGGATAGTTTTCAAATTTTCCAAGTAAAACAGACGATTTTTGGGGCAAATCGGTCCATAAAGAAAAACTAATAATTTCCCGTGGAAACTTTTGCTTGAATCGTGTAAGAAAACGTGTTTGAAAACTATTATTATTATTTAGCTTTATTAAGGAGGCTTTCAGCCTTAGGCTGGTTCGCCTCCAATATGTTTGAAAACTAATTGTTTTTATTTCGGTATGTATCGGAGATGTTTTCATGGAAAATAATGCATAACAAGTTTGCAACCCACAGCGAGAGGTTACCTCCTGCGCAGTTGCATTTTTCTGAAAATTGTGAATATGTGCGATTTCCACTAAGATGAAAATGGAAATTAAGTGAATTTACTTAGGAAAGGTTGTATCATGCTGGTGGTAATGGAGAATTGGTTGTATAGGACGCCAATATTCAATAAATGTTCATTTTGGCCTTTTTCTAAGCAAACATATTGATACTCACAATTTTCGACGGAAAACGCAACGGAACTTGCTTTACTCAACACGCACCATACTATAAAATGGTGCTGGATGGTTTTCAAAGTGATAACAAGATGACGAATCATCTTTATTTTGAGTAATTGAGCAATTTACTTCTGTTTTATTTATCTATTTATTCTTCTAAAGATAAGCTTTTAGGCACTTTTTTAACATGAGCAGTTCGTTGGAGTTTTGATGATCTTATTATTTTTTGCACAGTAAACTCAGCTTGTCTTAACATAAAAGAAATAAAGTAGCATAAATTTTCGTCTAACAATCGTCAATCAATCATCGAATCAAACCAATCAGTATTCGACCAAACGCCATTCGGCCAAATGACACGGAACCATTATTTCGAATAAAGAGTCAATTAATGTAACCTAGGTTAAAACTGGCTATCATGAGTTTAACTGATTAAGTTTATTATAAGGTTATGTAGACAAGTTGCGATAAAAATACACAGTTTTAAACTCGTTTTTTTTTCTCTCCCTTTTTTCAGGATCCACTCAATTATAACTTCTGCCTAGCAACTATAGCGAATCGACCAGCAGGACCAAAATGCTATGTTAAAGTGTTCTGATCACAAACAGCAAAAAAGAAAAAAAAAAAACGGAACTGACGCCTGACTCATCAAGGTACTCTTCGACAGCAATGAGAAGTAAAAAAATCTCTTCCTCAAAAGACAAAGAACAGGAAAAAGCGTGTTCCACATCGCACTATGGCTTTCGCTAGATGCTACAACGTTAGACCACGAGGATGCACCGTGTAGGTAGAAGTGTGAAGAACCCCCGCCGACCGACGGGATACCCGATGGTAACATAAATCAATGCAATCAAAGTTCGTTCGTCGTCTGATGATGATGCTGATGCCCGAGATAATTACCTTTACAAAGTTCAATCAGGACTTTATTGCTCTGCGTCGATGTGAAAAGCCGATGAAGTGAACGGTTTTTTCCCCTGTGAAGTTTCAAAGAGACTACTTTAACGGTCAGGATGAATAAAAGGGACACCGTGGATCGGGTAGCAGTTCTTTGATAGATGTGACACAGGTGAGTTACGTATTTTACAATGTTATGTAGGTATTAGATAAAAAAATCGAGATGATTTTTCCTTAGCGTTTCATGTTCAATATTAAATTCAAATTGAAAAGATTCATATCGCACGGCTGATGCCAAATGTCGTAAAACAATCACAAATAGTCGGTGGAGCCCAGTGGTCAACATGCTCTGATCCGATCACCCACGTAAAACATAACCACACCGTGGTAGATTCTTTCCCATAAAAGAAAGAAGGCCGGCGCCGTCTCCGTCGTAAATTTTTATCACATAATCCATGATCCTATCAGCGCCGTAGTGTACTGAATTTTTGTTTTAGGTGACTGATTGATGATGTGAAAACAAAATCGCTTAAAGAAAGTGTCATTTCGGTTGAATCTCGTGAATTATACTTCAACCGTGCAAATCAGAAATTAAATCTATTATCTGGCGGTTTTCTGACCATACTGAATTCTTTAAGATCAATTCCTGAGTACATGTATGGCGTACAAAGTAGTGTTTTTGTTGAGTTGTGCTGTGAAAATAAATTAATAATTTCGTGTGAAATAGTGGCGTGTGCCGCGAAAGGATTATTCCAACGCGTGCCCGTGGTGTTTTTCTAACAGGATAAGTAGAGGAAAGGTTGCCTAGCAACTAGTTTTTGTTTAATTTTGTATTTTCCCCCCGGCGCGCTATTGATTTGTATAGTGAGCTGTGGCGGTAAAATTTTATTTTGTGTTCTCCTCCCCTGTATATGTCTGCTGCTAACAGTGTTAGCGTTTAATTTGGTAGAATGGATGTGTGTAATGTATGCGAGCAGTCAATTGCTATGAGTGGGCTCCCAGTTACGTGTGTAGGTCCGTGCAATGGAACGTTCCATTTCGCTTGTGCGGCACTCACTAAGACTGCGGCCAGGCTTATAGCAGATAATGCAAATATTCTGTTCAAGTGTGATAGTTGTCTATCAGATCAGAGTTGTGACGAGCAGAATGATCTGATCTCGCGCGTCAAAAGGATATAGGAAGAGGTGAAGAAGGTTTTTCAACTCTCGGACTCGATCACTGGCATGCGAGATCACATTGCTGCTCAGGTGGACATCGCGGTTAAAAGCGGGATGGCAGATATTAGAATATATGTAAATGGTCTTGAAAATTTGATTTGTGAGAAATTGGATAATATGAAAAGTTCATTTTTTAAAATTGATGCGGAAAACCAATTAGCTGTAAAGAATGATCCGTGCAGTTCATCTAGGACGATTCAGTCGGAATCGGACAAAAATACCAGACGCAAAAAACGTAAATTAGTAATTAGTAATAGTGATCATGATGATGATGTTGTTTTTCAAGAAAATGCGAGTTTTGCGGATGTTGTAAAAAGACATAGTCGTATTAGTCAAAGTAAAACTAATAGTAACAGTAATAGTAAAAGTAACAAACCAGAAAATCGTAAGACTCGTCCAGTCATTGTGATTAAACCGAAAGAGTCCAAACAACCTTGCGAAGATACTCGTAAGTTTTTAAAAACTCAGTTGGATCCAAAAACACACAAAATCAGTAATTTTAGGAATGGTAAAGATGGCTCCATTATTGTTGAGTGTGCAACAGGAGCAAACGTAAGTGATGTGAAAAATGGTATTGAAAGCAATCTGGGTGAAAAATATAGTGCTGTTGTTCCCACTTCGGTGCCAAGATTGAAAATAGTGGGCATGAGCGATCAGTTTTCCTCCGATGTCTTTATTGACTACTTAAAAAGTCAAAATGAAGACATCGCTATTAATGATGTAAAAGTAGTGAACATGTTTGAAAATCCACGCTTCACTTATAACAAGTTTAGTGTTGTAATTGAAGTCGATGTCGATACTTATAAATGTTTGTTATGTGCGAAAAAAGTAAATGTAGGGTTTGATCGGTGCTCGATAGTTCCCGCGATTAATGTGTTGAGATGCTTCAAATGTGGAGAATTTGGGCACAAGAGCATGGATTGCAAAAATTGTGATAGATGCTCTAGGTGCAGCCAACAACACAAAACGTCGGAGTGTACGTCAACTGTATTGAAATGTATTAATTGTTTGAAAATGAATAAAGAACGAAAAATGAACTTGGACGTCAACCATGCCGCATTTAGCTCGGAATGTTTGCTCTATAAAAGACTTTTTGATCAGAAGAAAAGCAGCTTGCGTTTCAATAAATAGCAGCCAAGTTCCAGGAATGTGAATCAATTCGATTTTTTATATTTGAATATTGCGGGGTTGTCAACAAACTACGTAGCATTACGTCAGATTGTTGAGGAAAAACGTCCTCTTTTAGTTTTCTTGTCTGAAACTCATATTGTAGAAACTGAAGCTTTTGATCAGTATAGTATTCCGGGGTATATTGTTGCTGCTTGTTTATCACATTCTAGACACACTGGCGGTGTTGCTATTTATGTCAAAGAATCAGTTCAATTCAACCTTCGTACCAACGAAGTTATTGATGGCAACTGGTTCTTGGGCATTACAGTTGTACGTGGCATGAAGATGGGTAATTATGGTGTTTTGTATCATTCTCCCAGTTCTAGTGACCAGCGTTTTGTTGAAGTTTTAGAGAACTGGCTCGAGACATTCCTTGATTCTAGTAAATTAAATATATTGGCTGGTGATTTTAATATTAATTGGCGCGATAACCATAATTCGAATCATTTGAAGCGTTTAGCTGAGTTTTTTTAAGTTAAAGCAAACGGTAAATGAATATACGCGTATTTCCAGGCACAGTAGAACTTTAATTGACCACGTTTATTCCAATTTTGATTCCATTTGTTCAGTTACGGATACTGATTTGAAAATAACCGATCATGAGACTTTAGTGATTAATGTCTTAGACCATGTTAACGATAACGATAATTTTGTAAAATTGAAGTGCTGGAGGAAATATTCGAAGCAAGCTGTTTCAAATCTTGTTGAGAGAAGCCTGGATTTTCCATTCGCGGCCGGTAACTTAGATGAATCTACAGCTGTTCTTAATAACGCTTTGAAAACGTGTACCAATCAACTAGTTGAGCAAAAGTTTGTTTCTTTGAAAAACTCGAACAGCTGGTACAATTTGGATCTTTTGCGTCTTAAACGGAAAAGGGACAAATGGTACAAAAAGTTTTGTAGATCTAATAATGACAATCATTGGACTAGGTACACAATCGCGCGTAATAAGTATTCACAATCGATAAAGAAAACTCGTTGTGAATATGTTCAAAGGAAGATTGATCAGCATCAAAACAACAGCAAAGAGTTATGGAAAATTTTGAAATCTTTATTAAAACCTAGTAATTGCAAACCGCGGTCCATAACTTTTAATGGCACATTAGAACAGTCAGAACAAGTAATTGCATCTAAGTTTAATGATTATTTCGTAGACAGTGTTTCATTGATTAATCAATCTATTGAATTGGTCGATGAACCTGACGAAATAAAACAGCCAGTTAATAGTAGTTGCAGATTTGAAGTTTTTCACCCAATTACATTAGATGAACTTAGAATTATTTGTTTTTCATTAGGAAAATCGGCTGGAGTAGATAATGTTAATGCTAGAGTTATTCAAGATTGCTTTCATGTCATTGGCCACATCTTTCTGGACCTTATTAATGAATCATTGCAGAATGGACATGTGCCACAAATTTGGAAGGAATCCTTAGTGATTCCTATTCAAAAAGTTGCTGGAACGATTAAAGCCGAAGAGTTTCGTCCCATCAACATGTTGCACACATTAGAGAAAATCTTAGAACTTGTTGTTAAAGGCCAGCTGTTGGAGTATTTGAATAGCAACTCTTTGTTGATACCAGAACAATCGGGATATCGGGAAGGTCATTCTTGTGAAACTGCATTGAATTTGGTGTTAGCAAAGTGGAAAGACAACTTGGAGCGTAAAGATACGATTGTTGCTGTTTTTTTGGATCTGAAACGCGCTTTTGAAACAATTTCTAGGCCCTTACTGTTAAGTACAATCAAGCGCTTTGGAATTACGAGTACTGCATATAAATGGTTTGAAAGCTATTTGTCTGACAGAACTCAACGGACTGTTTTTAGTGATTCTGTTTCCAGTCCCGTGGGGAACAACCTTGGAGTGCCCCAGGGAAGTGTATTAGGGCCCCTTTTATTTATTATGTATATTAATGACTTGCGACGTGTTTTACGGTTTTGCGACATTAACCTTTTTGCAGATGATACTGTGTTATTCATTGCAGCTAAGGATTTAGAAGTTGCCGTCTCACACTTGAATGAAGATTTGCAGTATCTAAGTAGATGGTTGAAGTGTAAGCAGTTAAAATTGAATACAAGTAAAACTAAATTTATGGTAATTTCGCGGAATCGATTAAATGAGAACGTCTCTGTTGTAATTGATGATGAGACTATTGATCGCGTTCAGGAGATTAAATATCTTGGCGTGATTATTGATGACAAACTTAAGTTCAACTCTCACATTGACAATGTCATCAAGAAAATTGCCAAGAAGTATGGAATTCTATGTCGATTGAAAAACGATTTAACTATTGCCAGTAAAATACAGCTATACAAATCAATCATCTCTCCTCATCTAGACTTTTGCCCATCCATTTTATTTCTGTCCAATGCAACACAAATATCGAGATTACAGCGCTTGCAGAATAAAATAATGCGTTTGATTTTGAGATGTAATAGATTCACTTCCTCAACTTTGATGCTAGACGCCTTACAATGGTTGTCGGTGAAGCAAAGAATTGTATATTTGACTATGGTGTTCATTTTTAAAGTAGTTAACGGTTTGCTGCCTCGATATTTGTGTGATCGAATTGAAAGAGGAAGTGACTATCATAGATATAATACTAGAAACGCGGATGAAATAAGAACACCACATTTCTTGACTTGTGCTTCACAGAATTCATTATTTTTTAAAGGAATAAATGTTTTCAATTCGATGCCTAGACACATTAAACGTTCAACAACATTAGCAGAATTTAAGAGACATTGCATTTCACACGTTAAAACTGTCTTTTGAACGGTTATCCAG